CGTAGCTGATTTCACGCCAACCCTCGTACCAGAAGTTGAAAAGGAACTCTTGTTAAAGTCGGGTACATTATCGGGGGTATGGACCCTTTTGACAGATGATGCTTCTAATATGAAGGGGTGCGGGTTGGGCATCATTTTGAAGCTACCCACAGGTAGCACTATCAGACAATCTATCAGAACTTCTAAGTGGACTAACAATGAGGCCGAGTACGAGACCATGATTGCAGGTCTCGAGCTAGTTAAAAGCTTGGGGGCAGAAGTCATTAAGCCAAGTGCGACTCTTTACTGGTGGTAAACCAAGTAAACAAAAGCTTCGAAGTTCGAGAGGATAGAACACAAAGGTATTTGGACAAGCTACATGTGACTTTGCACTGCTTCAAGGAGTTGACTCTGGATCACGTACCTCGAGAACAGAACAGCGAAGTCGATGCACTTGCAAATTTGGGATCATTAGTCGAGGAAGATTATATTATCCCGGGGACTGTCATCCAATTATCGAGATATGTGGTCGAGGAGGGCCATGCCGAGATAAACTCTACAAGCTTGACATGGGATTGGAGGAATAAATATATGGAATATCTTAAGAACGGAAGCTCCCATCGGACCCTAAAGAGTCGAGGGCCCTACGAACCAAAGTTGACTGATTCACGTTGGATGAGGATGGAACATTATACAGAAAGATGTTCGATGGACCGTTGGCGGTATGTTTGGTGCCGGGAGACACTGATTATGTTTTACGAGAGGTTCATGAAGGAACTTGTGGGAACCATTCTGGCACCGAATCTTTGATTCAGAAAATCATTAGAGCAGGATACTATTGGGATAGCATGAAAAAAGACACTAAGGAGTTTGTTCGAAAATGTGATAAATGTCAAAGGTTTGCACCGATGATCCATCAGCCTAGGGAATAACTTCATTCAGTCTTATCCCTATGGCCATTCATGAAATGGGGAATGGATATCGTCGAACCTCTGCCAACGGCCCCAGGTAAAGCTAAATCCATTTTGTTTATGACTGACTACTTTTCTAAATAGGTGGAAGCATAGGCCTTCGAGAAGGTCAGAGAAAAAGAAGTTATAGACTTTATCTGGGACCACATCATGTGTCGATTCGGGATACCTGCTGAAATCGTATGCGACAAAGGAAACCAATTCATCGGCAGCAAGGTAATGGAGTTCCTCGAGGAACACAAAATAAAAAGGATCTTATCAATGTCATATCACAAAAGTGGAAATGGACAGGCTGAATCGACGAACAAGACTATCATTCAAAACTTAAAGAAAAAGTTGAACGACGCTAAAGGGAAATGGAGAGAAGTTCTACCCGAATTTCTTTGGGCATATCGAATGACATCGAAGTCCAGCATGGGGGCAACCCCATTCTCCTTAATATATGGCTCCGAGGCCTTAATTCCAATCGAGGTCAAGGAATCTAGCGCTAGATTTCAACATGTAACGGAGGAACCAAATCACGAAGCCATGAATACTAGCCTTGAACTATTGGATGAAAAATGTGAAGCTGCACTTGTTCGGATGGCAGCACAGAAGAAAAGAATCGAGAGATATTACAATAGAAGAGCCAATCTTTGCCACTTCGGAATCGGAGACTTAGTTCTAAGGAAAGTCACCCTCAATACTCGAGACCTAAACGAAGGAAAACTAGTCCTGAATTAGGATGGACCATATCGAGTCATCGGTGTCATCGAAAAGGGATCTTACAAACTTGGCACGATGGAAGGCGAACAATTGCCGAACAGTTGGAACGTATTACTACGCAAACGATATTATTACTGAGGTATGACTCTCTCCCTTTTCCATTTGTATTTAGTACTAACTTATTGCAGGTGTTCGATCGAGGCATCGAGGAAACTTTTCAGCACGAAGGTCTTAGATTTTAAAGCACGCGTTGCACTCTTTTTCCCTTGGATCGATTTTTATCCCGAATGGGTTTTTTCAGTGAGGTTTTTAACGAGAAAACAATTATGTTCTACCTAAGGAAAATTAAACAATATCCAAGGCTTCTTTTTAATTAACCTTGAATACTGGGGGACATCACCCTCGGGGGTTATATTTTCAAGAAAAATACTTCATGCCAAAGGGTCTCGATAGGAAAACCTTGTAATGTGCCAAACGATCGGATGAACCGTGTCTATATAGAATAGTCGATCCCCGATTGCAAAATATGTACGCATGTGTGAATTATTCAAAGAAGCATTCTTTCTATATCAAACACTTTGTGTCTCAAAGAAATTTGCTACTATACGAGCTCCATAGTTGTGATTTTGTGAGAAATGGCTCAAGGGCCAAACGCAAATACACCTCGAACAATCAGGGACTGTCATCGATAGTCAACACATTCGAGTTATCTAAACTCGAATTCATAAGACCTCAAAGAGGCACCCCTCGACACATAGGGCAAGGTCATTGTACTCGGGGACTAACATTTCGAACAAGTTCAAAATGCTATCGGGAAATAAGTCCAATAGGCATACCCCAAGGCTACGACCATATTGAAGGCTACGGCTGAAATAACGCAGCTCGGAGACGTCCGAATCCCGCAATAAATAATAGGCCTTAAACTACTTTAAAAAACCGGTTAAAAGGCTATCCCCGGCAAAACGATTATAAAGGGGGCTTCGGTAAAATCAGCCCTCAAAAAACCTTAAGAGGTATCAAATTAACTTAACACAAAATGTGCTAAGGCACAAAAAGCAAGGGGTCTTAATCGGTATCGGACCCTCAAAAAACCCAATGGGTAAAAAACACATGTTAAGGCACAAAGAAATTTTTACTTAGTCTTTTAAGCCGAAAAAAGGGAAATAATAGCCATCTTTTAGAGGTCATAACGACCCGATCTAAAAGATACTAAGGGACAATACACTTAGTGTTCGAGACCTTGTTCTCACCCGATCCGAACCCAAGGGTTCGATTATCCCAAGCCCAAATAAAACAATAACTTGATTATGGCTCGGGGACTCACCATTATCCGGCACAAGCCCTTAAGGGTCTATGCCCCAAAGTTCGAACCTTATTCAAACTCGACCATGACAACTTCAAGGAAGCCATCCAAGACAAAGTCTCGAACACGTTGTTCAAAGCAACAAACTATGCAAAAATTTTGCAAGGCAAGAAACATGTTCATAAAAATTGAGAAGGCATTCAAGGAAATTTTTCTTTTATATATTTGAAAAAAGATATGTACAAGAGACCGGCGAGGTCTTAAAAAAAGAAAAAGAAAAATCCTAGCTATGCCCGGGGTTGGTTTCTCCCTTGGGAGTAGCTTCCTCTTTCGGCACCTCTTCATTGTCAAACCCGCCTTGGCTGCCTTCATCATCATTGTCGTTGGATGAGGAGACAAGAAATCTATCATCAGCTTCGAGCGCATTTTCTTGAGCTATCTCTTCAGTGAGGTCAAAACCTCGAGTGTGGATTTCCTTGTGGGTCTCCCTCCGAGATTGGCACTTGGCCAAATCATTACTTCGTCACTCTTGGTCAGAGCATCCCTTATCTCTGTTTGAGCAGCCTTAGCATCCCTTAAGTATACGACAACGGTTTTATCAGCCGTGACCTTCGTCTTCTCGACCTTAGCCCTAGCCTCAGCAAGCTTGTCCTCGAGCTCGTTGATCCTTTTGGCCTGGGCCAAACTTTTCTCTTTAGCACCCTAGATTTGGGTCTCACCCGATGCTAGTTTGGCTAAAGAAGCCTTCTTCTATGCAGCAAGGTGGTCCATATACTCCTTCCACCGGTTGCAGTCGGCCTTGACCTCATCGACCCCCTCGAAGCAGCTCAATCCTCTCCAGTTTTTGCTGTAGCTGAGACACTGAAGTATTAGCCTCCACAGTTGGGTCGAGTAGACCATACTCTTTCAAAATAAAAGTTACCTGCTTGTCTAGCTCGGCCTCATTTTTACGAGCCTTGGCCAAGTCTGCCCCATGGTCCTTGAGCTTCTCCTCCTTTTGACTACAAAGGAGCTTCAGGCCCTTCTCTTCATCCGAGATCTTTTGGAGCTCGGCCTCGCATTGGCTCAAGTCATCCTTAAACCTGGTGAAAGCCTAACAGAAAAAAGGATATCATAGGGGAGAAGAAGAAAAAAGAATTGCAACGATAGGAATTAATGCTTACTTGAGAGAAAAGGCGATGAGCCTCTACAAAGAGGGTAGATGCATCGTTAAGATCGGCGGCATCATCGACCCTGGTAAAGCAATCCCGGAAAGGATCTCCTTCACTGGGGACTCCGCTTAAGTCAGGCATTTGCAGAGCCCGAGCCTCCCTTATGGCCTCCTTAGAATAAGTCGGTAGAGGGGGAGCGTGGCATGTTATCCTGGCCCTAGGCAAATCACTCGGGGTTCTCTGTGCAGCCCTGGGGATTTCGGAACATGTCCCCTTTGGTGTATTTGTTGATGGCCGAGGAACAATCTCGACCTTGGACAATTCAGGGGCTTTGCCCGCGTCTTTCTTCAGAGCTTCCTCACTACGAGGAAGGATCTCCGGTTCAGAGGGCTTGGTAGCTTCAACTGGCTTCCTGGCTCGGGTCACTAGCGCTGAGTTCACCCTCATCTTCTTCTTCATGATTCAGCTGGTGGACTGAATCTATATCCACATGAATGAGATTCCTCATGCGTCGTCGAGTAAGGCCCCTTTTATGTTGGGGGTCTTCGGGCTTCGAAACCCTTTTCCTCTTATTATCTTTCCCCGATTTCGGAATCAGGGACTCGGTCTCCTCCTCGGGCAGGGCTTGCCTTATTTCAGAGACATCTCCAATGCCTGCATGAATGAAAGTTAGGTATGAGTAAAGAAACATCTCTGATAAAGTGGAAAGCATCAAAAACTTACAAGAAGAACTTACCGTGGTGTTTGGCTTCCCATCTGCCCCACGCCAAGTCACGCTAGCAGTGCTCGTCATACGAGGAGGTCGCATCTAGTTTTTGGACCCAGTCTTCGAGGTCGGTGACCTCATGAGGCATCCAAGCAACCGTTGCAAAATGATGAAGGCATCACGCAATGCAAAAACAGAATACAAAAGGCTACTCGGAAAAAACTTCGCTTACAATCGGGGTTCCAATTCACTGGGAACGACATTTTCTCCTTTGGGATGATGTCACTGGTCTTCACTCGCACGAACCGGCTCATCCAGCCCCGATCCTTATCCTCGTCGTTGCTGGAAAAGAAGGCCTTCGTCGACTAGCATTGGAGCTTGATCAGATCTCAGAAAAGTTGAGGCCGATACAACCGGATAAGATGATTGAGGGTTAACTCTAGCCCCTCGGCCTTGCTGGAAAAGTAGCGGAGCATGATCACTATGCGCCAGAAAGAATGGTGGATCTGGCCGAGAGTGACCTGATACCTCTTGCAGAAGTCGATCATGATTGGGTCGATGGGATCCAACGTGAAGGGGTAAATGTAAACACTTAGAAACCCCTCCACATGAGTGGTGATATTCTCCTCGGGGATGGGGATCTGTACGACGACCGCATCCCCCAGCCATAGTCCCTCTTCATGGCCTCGAGGTGCTTCTCGGTTATCAAGAAAATATACCTCGATACATGCTCATATCGTCCAGGAATCACGGGGGGATTTTTAACTTTGAAGTCTTTCTTTATGACACATGGGCCGGGAATAATCTCGTGAAAGACTGGCGCTTTATCGTCGGTCGGCGGGGAAGAGGAGGTGGAAGCTTTCTGCTTTTGAGGAACGGTTTTGGAGGTTTTCGCCATTGATTTAGGTTAGAAGAAGCGGAAAGAGGCGGAGTTTGATATCTTTCGACGCTAAAAGGGCGGGAATAATAGGTAGTGAGAGAGAGAGAGAGATGAAGAGGGAGAGAGATCACAGAAGTTTGAAGGTGGCTAGAAGATGGAAGTAAAGTTTTTGATTCGAATAAGGAGCCTTGTATTTATAGGCAAGCGGCGACAGTTCAACGGTGCTAGTGGCGGACCGCCACTAGCAAGCATTTAATGTTTTGGGGAAGCGAACCGATGGAACGTTTCGGTCACTTCGAGCGCTTACGTCACAGGGATGACGTCATCATCAGGGGCTCCAAAAAATTGAGGCTCAAATCGTTTCTTATCATCTTATTACAAGAAACGCGGGGACTATTTGTATACGATCGAAATCAGGTATGCCCGATTTCGTAGGCTCGGGGAGTTGCTTCAAGAAAAAGCCCAAAATAGACCTGGCTCGAGCCCGATGGCGGAGTATAGAAATTGAAGACCGAAGTGCTCGATGAAAACCAAGACCGAGTATGACAAACCTCGGGATAATACCGTTATGGTTTAATAACAGAAAGAGCGAGATTCCCGCAACGGCCCAAAGATTCCGGCGTAAATTTCGGAACGGATTTGTACTTGGCAGTTATACAATTGTCCCATAAGATTCCCTACTATAATTAGAAGTGTACTTTATTTAGGATCCCCCCCTACTATATAAAGGGGAGCCCATTCATTTGTAACACACGATTCATTGAAAAAGGAATATACATTATTCACTTTGTTGCTTACTATTCATCAGAGTTACCTTATAATTTTGTTGTTATTGCTAACCTACCTAAAGGCCATCATAACTCGAGGTCAAGACTTGGTTTGCACACTGGTTTGACTTGCTTTATTTCTTCAATTTAGATATTTAATTCCTCGTTTATCAATTAGTATTGGACTAAGTTACGTATTTTTAAAACCACAATATAAGTTTAATTGGTATTTAGATTTTAGGGTAAACAAGAGTCTATAAAAAAACATTGGATTTTTTTATTTTCTATAAACTATCCGATTAGATGTTCCCCTGTTTGGCATGTATAATAAACGCAGCTCATACATCTGGATAACTTCTTTGGTCGTTTTCTGTTGTATGTAGTTGCATTTGAAAGACTTCAGCCAAGCATTGAAATTTTTTTCTTCTGTTCTAGATCCCGGTGTTTAATAGATTACGTGGCTTTCTATTAGGGTCATGTTAATTTTTGGAGCGAATTTGAATATAAAATTTGCAATTCTTTTTTACATTTTTAAAAATTACATAAAAAATATTATAAGTCATAATAATAGTTAACAATTCAAAATATTTAAGAATTATTAGCAAAAAACATGATATAAAAATCTTATTTGACTCTCAAATAATGATAATGTCTTGGATCGTTAAACCCTTAAGTCTTTACGAAGCTAATCCAGAAAATCAGGCGAGCTTCGTTCGGACTTATAGACAATAAATAAGCGTTCAGTCTAGACACTACGTTTATGGAGAATTTCTTTTGTTTTCTAGATTTTGCCGTTATATGTGATTTTCTCCCACTCAATTTAGGTTCGGGATTGATTTTCTAGTCAAAATTTGGATATGTTTTCTAGTCCTAGTTGAATTGGGTCATATACCATTATAAATACGGCTACTACTACCTAGTTTTCTTAGTTGAATTTAAAGCTTCCTACCTCCTTTCTCTATAATTCGCTAAAATTTATAGTGGGCATTTAGGATGGGTGCGGTCAGTGGCAATTGATCCTAGTAATAATTGGTTTTGTACAGGTTCAGCAGATGGAACTATTAAGATATGGGATTTAGCTAGCGGTAGGTTGAAGCTCACATTAACAAATCACATTGGGCAAATACGAGGCCTTGCTGTTAGCAACAAACACACATATATGCTCTCAGCTGGTGACGATAAACAAGTTAAATGTTGGGACCTTGAACAAAATAAGGTGATTCGCTCTTATCATGGCCATTTGAGTGGTGTTTATTGCTTGGCTCTTCATCCCACAATTGACATCTTGTTCACTGGGGGTTGTGATTCTGTTTGTAGGGTTTGGGATATTCGGAGTAAAACACAAATTTTTGCTCTCTCTGGACATGATAACACTGTTTGCTCTGTTTTTACTCGACCAATGGATCCTCAGGTTGTAACTGGCTCTCATGACTCAACCATAAAGTTTTGGGACCTTAGATATGGTAAGACAATGACAACACTCACACATCACAAGAAATCTGTTCGAGCCATGGCTCAGCATCCTAAGGAAGAAGATTCTTTTGCTTCTGCATCAGCAGACAGCATGAGAAAATTCAACCTTCCAAAAGGAGAACTTTTACATGGCATGCTTTCCCAACAGAAGACCATAATCAACGTGATGGCTGTCAATGATGAAGGAGTAATGGCAACAGGAGGTGAGAATGGAAGCTTGTGGTTTTGGGATTGGAGAAGTGGTCACAATTTTCAGCAAGCTCAAACCAAAGTTCAGCCGGGGTCTTTTGATAGTGAAGCCGGTATCTATGCTCTCACATAGAATGTATTTTTCCAGGACAGGCTTTGCTGTAGTGTTTCTTCAGGCAGATGACTTTAGTTCTCTTTTTGGTAATAAAATGTTTGATTCCTGCAATTTCCTTTAATTACTTTATCTTTAGTTATATGCTAGTATTTACTTTTCTTTATCTGTAATACATAGGACTAAAGAGAAGCAGGGAAAGATGGTTTTTGCTGCCATAATTAAATTCTTTGAATACCAGTTACACCTTACAGGGGATGAGAAAAACTAATGCAAGTGCTCTACGGAAATCTTGATTCGTTGAGAACAACACTAGTTGAGAAAACTGAGAAAGAGTCCAGCGGAGACAAAGAAAGAAGTCATTATTTGTCTCTATTCCATTACTAAATCTCCAAAACTACTCCAGTCTAAACCAAAGAGCAGTCATAAGAAGGCCAAGGGGATGATGCACTTGTTTTAATGCACAGTGAAAATTATCAATCTCAAAATTCAGAGAATAATTGCTAGGCTCTAATAATCAATTTTTCCCTTTTAGCTGAGGGATCACAGAGAATATGGTTACTCTTAGCTCAACAAGTAAATGAAACAACTCAATACAACATTCCCAAAATTTTAAAATCAAATTGCACATTGTGAGTAATGAGAATTACTATAAGCTAAGACAAGAGAATTGTTTCACAGATTATAGAATCATTCATTTCATCAAGCTAACAGACAAACAAATTAATGTGCAAGGGCAAACCTTTTAAGTTCGGAGATTACACCAAATTGAATCAATTACAAGAGAGATTGTTGGGTTCTAAGAATCAAGTAAACAGAAGAACCTGTTATGTGCCGATTGCCCCTCATTGATTAAAATGAGAAATGCTAAAGGATTTACAGCTAAATGGGCTCTCCTCTCCTGTTTATCTATAACAGAACCCCAAAGATCAGCCATAAAATTCCAAGAATCATATATGAAAGGAAAAAAAGAGAGAAAACTGAAGATAAAAAGTAGAAGCTCAGTCTCAATTATTGATGGTCTTATCATTTTGGCTAGCACTAACCATATAAGCATATGCACATACTCTTTTATTATGCTGATAGCGACCTTAAAATATTCTGCAAAATAGGGACGAAATGCATTGGCCTCACTTTACATTGGTTATTTTCTGCTAGAGTTTCTTCGATATCTAGGTTGAAAGACGGTTTATTTTGTCATAACTTCTTTCATGTCAACACTGTCCCTATCCATTGGATACCAATCACGCCTTAGAGGGGAAGACAAAGAACTAATGGAAGTGCTCTATGGAAAACTTAATTCCTTGAGAACACTTGTTGAGGAAACCGAGAAGATTATTAGAGATCGCTAGGTGCTAAAAACTCTTGAAGCACAAACAATGAAGGTAGCATATACTGCATAAGATATGGTGGTGAGAAAACTTGCTCTGTCGGAAACCAAAGACTCTCAAGGAAGACCTCAAGGAAAAATTGTTTACCGTGAAAATGGTAACAACAATTAAATTTGTAAATGAGATTCTAAAAATACATGATCTATTCCCGAGCTAGTTGTTAGAGCAGTTAATGCTAAGAACGTGAAGCTTAACGATGAAATGCGAGCTAAAACAAGACAGTAATCAAACCGAAGGGGCCTGTTGCCCGGATGCAAAGCTGGTCGATAAGGACCTGGGGGTCGGGACTCGAATCGAGCTCGAGCTATCGGGGGCAACCGGGAATAGGATAACAATTAAGGATACGATCAAGCAAGATTCTTTACGGTCAAAGTTGCGCAATATAGCATGAAATAAGTAAGAAGACAATAGATGTTATAGCGGCCTCGAGCCAGTGAGAACGAACAAAATAGGAGAAAGAGAAAGAGAGATATTATTGCTTTTGTGGAGAAATGGAGCAATATCAACCCTTTACAAAGTGGTATAGGTTTCCCTTTTATAGGCGAGGGAATACGGTATGGTACAAATATGTGGAGATTAAACACAAAGTACGGAGATGGGATGGTTTGACGTGATGCCTCAGCATAGGCTCTGGATAGGCCGGGCCTGTCAGACATAGCCATGTGCCTTGGGGGCTTCCCCCTCCGTCCTAGCTTCGGTCTTCGTTTCCTCCGACTCGGGCTCTGACGAGCCCCAAGGTCGGGAACTTGGTCGCGGCCTCCCGCCCTCGGGGTCCCGAGGCATGCTTCCGAAATGTCTCGACAGCGAGAAATCAAGTCTTCTGATTTCGCCGCATACAGATAGTCTCCGCGTTTCCCATAATGAAGAGATGGGAAATGATTCTGACACTTGACTCCTTGAGCTTCTTTCGGCGATGACATACCGATGATGCGACTCCTGGCCTGAGCTTCACGGTGATTGGACATCCACATGCTCGTGCTTTTCAACTTCATTCATTGCACTCATGGTTATCGTTTTTCAAGGTGAAGGTACCGTCGTCGGCTCGATTTTCCATGGATGCATTAACTGCATCCGTCGGTCAACCTTCCAAAGCCTAGATGATCGTGTCATAATCTCCTATAAACGGGGGTGCCTTGGCTTTGCTTTTCCTATCCCAGTGCTTTCGTTGGCTCGCTTGCCTTTCCCCTCTTATCATCTTCTTTCACCCCTGAACATCATGCTAGGGGTTCTTGACCTTAAGGCCGTTTGGAGGAGTTTCCTTAGACTGTGTTGTGGCCTTCTGCTGGGGCTTTCCTTCGTTGAACATAAACGTGCCGTTCCGCTGTTGTTGTGGTCGTCGGTATGCTGGCTCTTGCTGTTGCTGCTGGGCCGAGGTGATGATGGACGGGGAGTCGGTTTCTCCCTTATGTAGATAGCCGTTCGGATTATGCACTGCTGCTCACAAGGGGGCTCGGATTATACACCGTTGCTCACCTTCATACCCCGGCTCGACGTGGTGCTCTGCTCCGAGTTGGGGGCTTGCATGGCTAGAAGTTCCAAGGAGTGGATTCAAAGTAGCCGTGCAAGCGGGACCGAGGATTGTTCCGCTGTCTCTCCGAGGCTTCCTTGGCCAAAGAGGGTCCTCGAGCATTGGAGAGCTATGGCATGTTTTCATCCCTCCCTGCTACTCGCCTTGTCCCTTGGGGATATCAGTGTGGAAAGTTGGGATGAAACTCCCGAGGGGGTGTGTCCAAAGGCGCCTGTCGTGGACTTTCGAAGGTGGATCGGTCTTCGGGATTTCACCTTGCGTGTGCATCCCTTTGTCTCTTCCTTTAGACTCCTGTAGGCTTTTGCAATTTGTATGTAATGACCCCTCGAGGGTTGCTTGTGCACAAACTTTTATGAATAAGAATATACCCCGTTGATTTCTGCTTTCCTTACTTCTATATGCTTTTGTACCCTCTGAGGCCCTTTGGATGCTTTCCTTTATTTATTGGCCGCTGATATCGGGCTTGGGCGCGAGCGTCCGTCTCGGTCTTCTATTGATCAGCACGGCTCTCTTTTGAACCCATCATTGTACTCCGGACCAATCTTGGATCAATCTGATAGGTCCGGGCTATCGAGGCCCTCCGAGTTGTATGGAGAGCATGCGTCGAATTTTGGGGCCTTCGGGAATGCTACCCTGGATGAAGGTCATTTTTGGGTATTCGGGGGCCCCTATTGATCTTGATGTAGATAGCCCCTTTAGAATGTATAGGATACACTTCTGCTGAGGAGTTTGCCTGTATTCGGGCTCTTCCTAGGACCTTCGCGGAGCTTTCGCGATCAGAGCTTCCTGCGTTTATTCCTCTTTTCAAAAAGAGGGGATCACGAGACCAGGTACTTGCCTTGCATCAAGTGTTGGCGTTTAAAGCTTCCCGAAGTCCGACTTCTTTGGGCCGGGGGTTCTTGATGTAGAGTGTTATCTTGAGCTCGGAGATAATACAAACGGCCACTCGAGTTTTGACTCCTCGTTGAAGGATGCTTTTTGGATCGGGTATTGACCCGTTGATCTATATCAAGGCTGTTGGCTTCCCGGGGCCTGCCTCGGGCAGGTGAATCGTCGCTGCTTCTCGCATATATGTGGGGCGACTTCGGCTTTTTTGCAAGACTTCACACTTTTTAGATAGCCGCCTTTCTCCTTTAGCACGGGGTACTTCATCTCTTTAGGCGCAAAAAGTGTTGGTGCACGTGCTTGCTTTGACTTGTTAGTTTCACCATAGTCATGGAAACCACTTCAGGGCCGATCTGGCAGAGGATGGGGGTGCTGCTCCTGGTGCTCAGGAACCAAGGGAGTTCGCTCTGGAGACAGTGTCCTTGATAAGAAAGGAACACCTGGAGATGGCGAGGAGATACTGCGGGTGGAGCGAGGGGATAACACTGTAGGTGCTTTCCCCAGATGAGGGCCTTGCGGACTCCACCGATGGATTCTTGAGCGTATACCTGTACCCTTTCGCATTTGGCCCCCCTGATAGGGTCGTGCTTGATTTTTGCTTGAAGTATCGGGTTACCCTGGCACAGATTCATCCGTCGTTTTGACGAACGACGTTGATGATGAGGTTCTTCGCGGAGAAGACCGGGCTTGAATTCACGCTTGATCAACTTGTCAGGCTATATCGGCCATTTCATCGTCGAGGCCTGCTAACTCTGAGATGTCGCTCGTCCATGCCCTTTGTTATTGATGAAGAGGAATGCATGGATCGAGAGTGGTCTAGTTGGTTTATCCGAGTCCGGACAACCGACATTATCCTTGTGGAGTTTTTGCCATTTCCCGAAGGGTGGAACTATGCACGTGGGTGAGGCGTTTGGCGCTTTTTTAGATTTTGCCTATAGTTAAAATCAGCTAAGTAATAATGTTGTCTCCCTTGTTTCAGCAACTTCGTGGACGCCGGGTGAAGTCCATGATCTGCCCGGCTGGATCCGGAAGCTGGTGACCCATTCATCCTGTGACGAGCGCAAGTGGCAAGCTGTACTTCGTACCGGATGGGGAGCGCAGTAACAAAGTGTGTGCGTATGCTGCCTTTTCCTTGCCTTCGTATACCCGAGGTAATATTTTCCCTTTCCATTTGTGCTGGATTCACCGTTTGCAGATATCGGGCTGTTTCTTGGGATAGGGCACCCGCGATGTGAT